CGTAAGGTTGTGTTTTGACCTGTAATGACGTCGAGGTTGTGTTTTGACCTGTAATGACGTCGAGGTTGTGTTTTGACCTGTAATGACGTCGAGGTTGCGTTTTGACCTGTAATGACGTCGAGGTTGCGTTTTGACCTGTAATGACGTCGAGGTTGCGTTTTGACCTGTAATGACGTCGAGGTTGCGTTTTGACCTGTAATGACGTCGAGGTTGCGTTTTGACCTGCAATGACGTCAAGGTTGCGTTTTGACCTGCAATGACGTTAAGGTTGCGAACAGTTAACCCTGTACTTGAACGGCGGAAGCTGGCCTGCCGCCATGCTACTTCACGACGGAAGTTTCTGCTGTCAGAGAGAACGTTATTAGTAGATGTCGGACGATTAGTAGATGTCACCTGACATCTTAATGCAAGTGTTACTCAGCAGAAATCGTGCTGCTAAGAGTCATAGTTCCACGAAGTGGCATAAGGGGACGTGTTGCTATGGGAGAGGTGACATCATAGTTCCATGAAGTGGAACCAGAGGATGTGTTGTTAGGGTAATGACGTCGATGGATTCCGTATTGTTGTACTAAGACGTCACGAACGTCTATATTTTATAAGTATAACTAATATTTTTTGACAGTATATTTATGTATTATGTATAACAATAAATGTGTTGTTTACAAAATATTTCAATATTTCAGGGGATAGTGTTACTATAAGCGGATGATGCTACAAGGGAAAATGTTACTATAGTTCGTAGGATAATCGATTATTCAATAGTATGTTACCTTATTTGCATAGTATACTCTTATAAATATCTGTCCTGAAAAGGACGGATTTTTTGTGATAACATCTATAAATACGATTCAACAATTTAATATACAATCTTACTGTTTCACTTTATACACTAGTTTTGGCTTTATGGATTAAACATATTCTTATGCTATTCCTCTACCCATTAAACTATGATTTTTATTGTTATAACAGTAAACGAGTTCTTGAAAAATTTATAATTTTATACATGTTGATAGTTACTTTATAGTGTTTCTATAGGCCGGCTTCGGCTGGTCAAGTACAGGGGTAATCACTGTTGGTTTTGACCTTTAATGAAATTAAGGTAGCGTTTCGACAGGTAATGACATTAAGGTTTGCTTTTAACGTGTAATGATTTAAAGTTGAGTTTCGACTTGTAACGACTTTAAGGTTGGGTTTTGACATTAAGGTTGCGTTTTGACCTGTAATGACATTAAGGCTGCGTTCTTACCTGTAATGAACTTCTAACACTAAACTGCTGTTAAATATATAAATATATAACTTGTTCTTCCCAATTTCTTAGAAGTTTTATTACATTTTAAAGCACATATTTGGAAAATAACTTGGGCTTTATTCGGTAATTGAGCAGAAGTTTTGTGAACATTTCGATGAGATACGATGATTTCTGACATGTTACGCCATATATGGGTACTTAAAGAAGTTTTAAAAATTTAATTAAAATATCAGTCACCAGAGAGCAGTAATAAAGAAGTATTTATTTTCAGCAAAAAAACACTAAAGTAACTTTTACAACGGAACCTTATAAGGAGATAATACGTACTTCTGCTTCAAAATAAAATTGGAATCTTTCAGCCTACTAGCTTAGATTATACTAGGCCTAATCAAGAAAATAAGAACTGTAGAAACTAGGCCTAATCAAGAAAACAAGAACAGTGGAAATGCAATGGAACCGTATTTGTCATTATTGAAACACGGCATACACCAGAATAACACGGCTTTCGAAGTTCTGAACGGTACTTATTAATGTTGCTCAGTTGACATCTTACATCGTTGTACTCATCTTCTTACTGACATTTTTATAGTGAGTCATCCAGCATACTTACAGTTTCAAGTTAGGTTTAAAATAAAACAAACTGTTACTGATGCTTCTTGTGAGAATTTGTATGCAAGACCATTAAGGTTTGCTTATGAGTTATCCTTGAAGCTTAGGCCTGTGTACATTTTGCAGGATTGAAATGTTTGAATTCTTTGTTAAGTATTTAAAGTCCGACTTATTAGAATTAAAAGAGAATAAACATATTAATTAAAATGTAGATAAAGTCGTAGGCAAAACAAAGAGGTTCTAAAACATAAAACTGGGACATTAAAAAACGTGTTTCATTGGTTTATAAGCACGATGTTTTTATTTAAATCC